AAGTTAGTTTCTCATATAAAAATTTATACACACATTGTTATGTGACCCTAGTTGCTCTCCCTATAATGTGACAGCACACTCCTCCTTTTCACCTTGGATTTCCTGTGTCCATTCAACCAGCTCCTGGCCCTTTCTGCCTTCTCATCTTGTCTCCAGACGGGAGCTGCCCATTTAGTCTTATGTATCTACTTGAGATAAGAAGCACTGTCTTTACGAGTTATCATTTTATGTCTTACAGTCCAGTCTAATCTTTGTCTGAAGAGTTGGCTTTGGAAATGGTTTCAGTTCTGGGCCAACAGAGAGTCCGGGGACCACATCTTCCGGGTTCCCTCCAGTCTGTCAGACCATTAAGTCTGGTCTTTTTACTAGAATTCAAACATGTCTTTAACAGAGCCTCTATGACTGCTTCTACCACCTGTAGTCCTTTCCTAAGGACATGACCCTGGTTCCTTCAGTAATATAGCCTTGATTCTGCAATCAATTTTTTTCTTAATCTTTGTTTTTAATCAAACACAGTATGGAAGACACAGGGAACTGTAATGGAGCTTAAGCTAAGGAATCAGGACTGCGATCTTCTGTTCCATTTTTGCTTCTAATCACTAACCTTCCTCATTTTTTATAGCCAGTCTCCCCTCCCTGCCTCCCTTCCCTTTTTTTTTTCCCCATTTCTACTTAACCTAATATTATCTCCTTTGTGGTGAAATACTCCTTTCTAAGGTACTGTGTGCGAGGCCCTATAGTTCAGGGGTTAGAGCACTGGTCTTGTAAACCAGGGATAGTGAGTTCATGTCTCGCTGGGGCCTGTGAGTATTTCTTGGAGCCCTGGTGATGCAGTGGTTAATGAGCTTGACTGCTAACCAAAAGGTTGGCAGTTTGAGTCTACCAGCTGTTCCTTGGAAACCCTAGGGGGTAGTTCTACTCCGACCTACAGGGTGCCTATAAGTGGAAATCCACTTGACAGTAACAGGTTTTTTTTTTTTTTTAAGATACTGTGTAACAATGTTTCTTGCTGTGGACTTGATCCTTACTCATGCCCACACCACATGTGTTTCAGAGTAGAACTGTGCTCCAT